GACTGGGAATTACGTGAAGTTAAATGAGTCACAGAGAGCACGGCTGACCACATGTGTTCTTTGTTGTTCTTGTGTTCTTTGTTCTTGTGTTCTTTGTTTCAAAAAACGGAACTTTTTTTCTTTTTTGGAACAAGCAAACAAGCAACTTTGGACATCATGCTGTCATCGCGAACAATGAACGTCCACCAGTACACCTTTCAACGACGCCCAACACTCGGGCTTTTCAAATGGGTCTTCAGGGACATGGCATGATGGTGAAAAGCATACGAACGAGTTTTAGCCGGGTTTTATTTTTTAATCGAACGTTACGCACGCCGACAAGCACAAAGCAATGCTATAGAGCGACAGCGACTGCGGAGGCCATGCCAGCGCCCAGGAGCTGTGGCGCAACTGGCGGTCGCCCCCCCCCCCCCCCCCACCTGGGGGTCGAAGGCGCTAACTACTCGGTCATCACGCCCCCTTAGCCGTGTTTGAGACGTCAATGTTTGTGTGCCACAGAACGCGATTATGTCGCGTACGTACGCACCATTGAACTTTTTAGCGTGAACTAACGCAACAGTGTGCTTGAGTGGACGATGTTCATGGCAAACGCATTCATAAATCGGTCGAAAACCCTTATGACCATAAACATGTGTCCCCTAAACCCAAAATTGCAGCCAGACCATAAGCCATGTGTCCGCAGGCCTGTGTGTTGCAAGTCACAGTAGCATGACTGTGTTGTCCTTAAGTTGCGAAAGCTGCAATGATGGATGCGCCGTTGGCTACTGAAGCAACAGCTCTGACTGCTGCCCCGTCATCTGGCGGAGCGCTGCTCGCTGAACCTGGTCACACGCAGCCTGCACGAGAATTTTCAGCGGCGAAGGAAGGGACAGAGAGACGTCACCAGTGGAGGACCAGGGAGCGGAGACCTCCCGGTCCTGCGAGTGTCCCCCTTCCAGAGACGTCTGTGGCGATTGTGGTGTTTTTGGTAGTTTGACCCTCGAATCATCGGCCCCTTCAGAGCAAGAGGTAGTCGCCTCCGCACACCATCGGCTGGCTCGCAAGCATTAAGCTCTGGCTACGTTCATGACGAGGTATCAAAGTCGGCATCACCGGGACCGAGAATCCACATCACCGGGATCGGTAATCGACATCACCAGGATTTGGACTCGATATCACCGGGATCAGGACTCCACATCATCGGGATCGGGACTCCACGTCACCGGGATCGGGACTCCACATCATCGGGATCGGGACTCCACATCACCGGGATCGGGACTTGATATCACCGGGATCGGGACTCGATATCATCGGGATCGGCACTCCACATCATCGGGATCGGGACTCGATATTACCGGGATCGGGACTCCACATCATCGGAATCGGGACTCCACATCACTGCGATCGGGACTCCACATCAATCGGGATCGGGACTCCACATCACCGGGATCGGGACTCGACATCATCGGGATCGGGACTCCACATCACCGGGATCGGGACTTGATATCACCGGGATCGGGACTCGATATCATCGGGATCGGGACTCCACATCATCGGGATCGGGACTCCACATCACCGGGATCGGGACATTACCGTAATCGGGGGACGGAACAATCAGGAGAAAAGCCTCTTATCTTTGGCGTGGACCTTTGGCTTCAAAACATGACATCAGAAACGGAACACTCCAGCAGTTGCGCCCTGCTTGACCTCCTGACCTGCACCACATGGAAACATACCACAAATGCAGTGCACCGTTGAGTGGTGTGCTCTCCGCGTGCCGGGACACGTGCAGCGGAAGCGTTCGGCGGGCGAATCAGAGCTTCCCAACCTCGACACAAACCTGATCCTCATGACAGCCATGGCCCACGTCCCCCTCCCCTCGCAGGTCCTCGCCAGATCAAGTCCAAGGTGTCGCCGCGCACTATCGACGGTTGGACTCGATTACTGTTGCGTTATGTGCCATTTGTTTGCCTGTCCCGTCCTGGTTTCGGAAGAGTGCAATCTGCAGATATTCGTTCTTGCTCATGCATGAAATTCATGCATTTCACATCGGTGACTGTCTGCATTGATGGCTTTGTCCAGGACGGACATTACCATTGGGACTTGATGACACGCCCAGCTGCTGAGGCTATGTGGCGTCATCTGCCTCTCACCCTGGCAGGAAGGGAGGGCAGGCACAACGGAGAATCGAACCCCATACCCCTGGTTTCTCAAACGCGCAGCGATTGACGCCCTCCAAGACGGACCACTGAGCTCTCTGCTCCATTGCTCGCCGTCAGCGCGCCGGTCAGCTGCTGATGACGTCACAGTCGGCGTGGCGCCCGAGGGCCCGTGGAAAGGGCGCCCTCGCCGGCGGGCGGGCGGACCTGCGGTTCCGCTCGGCTGCCCAGCAGTGGCTGCTCGGCCGGCGCCGCCAGCGGTCGGACTGGCTCGCCGGCAAGTGAGGGGTACTCATGCGTGATGCAAGACGGCCTGGTCCTCCGATAGGTAAGATTTAGGACCAGCTGTGAGGCCAAGGGCCAGTCAGGAACAAGCCCGGGGTAGGGGATGTCAACATGTAGAAAGGTGTGAAACTATTCTCGGAACTGTGCACCTCATGCGACGGAGGATACTGAAATATCTCCTTTTGTGCTCACAGTCCAACGTCCGGAAATAGGCCACGCACCTACCATGCATTGTTGTGATATGGCCGGTTAGCGTGTAGATTCCGAAATCGTCAGAGGCATACGTATGATTGGAAACACCCATATACCTGAGAGGGCTCAAGCCCCCACCTGATCGCAGCCATCCTATACCTCATGGTCGGGCACATAAGCGTCGAGTAGAAAGAACCGACTCGAAAGCACGGCATGACCGTAATCACTGAAGAACATCCACCTTTGGCCAAAGATAACATCATGTGGCAATACTAATGAAACCACGCCGTGGCAGCTTCCATACGCTGCTTCCCATTAAACACCCCGGGACCCGGTACACAACACCATTATGCAATCACAGCAGCGTGCACTGGGGATGAAAGCTTTCGCCGCTCCATTGCTAGGCTTCCCGGGTTTGGCTGTGTGGAAGACGACAGACGCGGGCGGTTGGCGTCTTCCAGTCCCAGAGTCACCGTGAGGAAGGTGTCTATGCTACCGCAGCGTCAGGGGAAGCTAGGAAGTCTTTGACACTAGTCAGGGCTGCTGTGGATACAGCTGCAGTCTGCGCGTGACTAGATTGCAGAAGACAGCCGTCTGCACGTGACTAGATTGCAGGAGAAGACAGCAGTCTGCACGTGACTAGATTGCAGAAGACAGCCGTCTACACGGGTCGGGGCTGCAGGGGAGACATCTGCCGTCTACACGGGTCGGGGCTGCAGTGGAAGACATCTGCCGTCTACACGTGACTAGGCTGCAAGGGAAGACATCTGCCGTCTACACGTGACTAGGCTGCGGGGGAAGACATCTGCTGTCTGCACGTGATTAGGCTGCATGGGAAGACATCTGCCGTCTACACGTGACTAGGCTGCAAGGGAAGACATCTGCCGTCTACACGTGACTAGGCTGCAGGAGAAGACAGCCGTCTTGATGTCCGCTGCAACATCTACAAGATTCTGAAACACTCGTAGCCTATTTAACAGCAGGATATTTGAGAGCGAGCTAAATAAAACCACAGTGAAATTTAACGCTCTTTGTCGGCCTGTTCCGCATCACTTGTTATGCATTCCAATTACAGAAGGATTAGTTGGCTGCAACCTTTTCTGAATTCAGCTTCCGGGCGAGCGGCAGCTGGGATGCCGGCGTGCCTCATCACGCGTCTGCGCCGGACATCCCAGAGCGACACAGAACTGGACCAGCACGCGATTGTCTCGCATGGCCTCCTGCAGTCAACGCCGACAAACGCACTTTCCCCTCCGGGTCTCCTCACCGGAGAGAGAGCCACATTCCAGGCCGATTGCATGGAACGTGGACGTATGATGGCACGATAAGTGTTACATGCCATATGGTCAATGCACCGACCACGATAGCAGCGTGAAGACTGCATCGTGGATACGAGCTTCTTAATGTATGTGGTTTTGTTCCTGCGTTGTGCCTGCGAGTGACATGGGTGCCGTCTCCTGCCCAACGCGGCGGGGCAGAACAGCTGACCGCTGCGGCTGTGTTCAGGCAAGTAACGCCGAAAGCACAGTGCATGACTGGCTTGGCAGTTGGAGAACTTAGTGTACCAATATTGAACCAAGCGAAATTACCTCAGATTTTACGTACGGAAAACCTAAACAGCAATCAGAGCTGTGGATGACTTCGGTGTATTGACTCAGCTCTGGCTCCGGATCCGAGCTTGTGGTAATTGGTCTGGCGATCAGCGCGTGACAATTTCGTGAATATCGCGGTTTTGCGTGACATTCTAAAAACGCATGCAGCAATTTCAGCTGCATTTGCTACAGACTGTCGTAGCGAGTGTGGCAGCCTAAAACCTTTATAGATAATAAACGCAAGTTTTACATTTGTCGCATTTTTGAAGTGCTTGCATCGCTTTTTTGTTTTGAACGGGATGTGTTCTTGATTCCGCGGTGCCTGACGTGCCCCGAGATCACTGACCCCCCCGAGATCACTGACCTCCGACCCGAGGCACACCAACAGCTGAGCCCACGCGGAGGCTACGCCCACTCGGCCAAACCCTGACGCCAGGTTCGGCGCGAGGCGCAGTAGATGGTCGCGTTCCGCCCGGCGGGCGCCGATAATGCACGGGGGACGTCCAGGAGTGGACACCGGAGAAAGTCCCCCGTCCCAGAATAGCCGCCGCCGTTGCTCACAGGGGATGATGATGCCGTCTTATGCCCGAGTGGTTCTGCAGCGCACCGCGGTGAGCGATGGGACGTCTGTGAGCTGCTGGCGCCGATAACACTGCAGTAACGCTGGGCTCGTCACTGCGCTTCTCTACCGTGCACCGTACCGTACCGTACGCCTCTATACACTGGGAGAGAGTGCCGTTGGCGCTGGTGCGAGAGCGTGTAGCCTGCGGCAGGGGCGCCGTGTCTTCCTTACCGTGGAAGAACTGGCCCGATGTCAGGGCGGCGACCACGCAGAGGAGCGTCCCACGCACCTGGAGGAGCAGACGAAAGACGGGTCTATCAGGGCTGAGCTGGCTGGGCGGGGCCGGCTCGCGCTGCGCGGTGTGCGCCGCATCAATGGACACCGCGGCGAATGATTGTGCCCACTGCTCTAATAGATGGTCTGAACTCGAAGTTTGAAACGCATCACAGGAATGAGATGAAATTCTGGGTGCTACGAACGATTTAAACGCCGCATGGCTCAACAGATGACACACCAAAATTGGTGAAGCAGTACTAATAAATTGAGCAATGCTTTCCTACATCTGGTGGTACTCGCATAATGTACACGATTTTTAAATGTTGTGTGTACAGCGCATCAAGAACATTCAAACCCATTTACGCCTACCCATTCTGTGCAAACCTCAGGGGGCCTTCGACTTCATCAATGCAAGCTGGAATTGGCATCAATTAAAATTTGGATATCCGCCGGTGGCTGTAATGTCAGGCTGAATGGTCTGACCTATGATGGTTTGCAATGATCACAATTTACATCAATAGTTTGATTCCTTATGTCTTTAAGTATTCATCCCTTCAGTTGCAACCGCTATATTTTGTGTTGTACTCGTAGTGCATGAATTTATGTCATCATCCACACCTCGAAGACAAAATATATTTCGAACCAATCACACGTTTGACCTGGGCTAGTGCAAAATTATTGGTTTAGCCAGTCATTTGTACCTTGAATCCGGTACAAAAAATACTATTTATTTCCGACTTGCACAACTTGCTTTTTTGGCGGCGCAAAATGTCAGCGCCATCATGTAATGTGTCGTAAACGCTCTGACATAACCAGCCCATACCACGTCGCCCCCTCGTGTCGATGCCCAGCTGGCTCTCGCGTGCCGGTTCGGCCCAGCGGAGCGGATGGTCGGCACCGCCAGCTGGAGAGCGGCGGAGATGCATCTCCCTCGTGTCTCCTCCAGACCGCACGCGGCCGGGCTGCTTGGCCGGCAGCGGGACCGCCGACCACTGGGCTTCCGCACAAACAGTGGGCCAATGTCGCGTGACAGCCGTTTGGCGTGGCGCCTTACTGATATCCCACCGATTACATAGTGTTGGCACATTTCACAGTCCGGGCTGCCACCAGAAAATGACTCGTGTCTGTCATCGTATCTAATTGGCTATTGCCGATCTAATGGGCTAACAGATGCATTGTCGTTTTACTATCTGTCAGCCGGTGTGCCTGAGTCATGACTTAAACGCACCCACGACTGGTTGCTAAGATCGCTTACGCACTATTAGACGAACATTTGTTCCCACCCTGCCCCACCCACGTGCTCAGGCGCCATGACTTCAATTACCGCTCAAACCATTATTTACGATTGTCACCGGTATTGCGCGAGTGAGTTCAGCCCGAATGGTGTCCTCGGCTCTGTTGGAAGCCGCCCACGTCTGTTTTTTTTTCCATCTGATCACTCAGAGTCCGATGATGTTTTTCTTGCAGCATGAAGTAAGGCACACATTTTCACTCGTTTCCATTTCGGTAACTTGTAAGGGTGAAATTCACGTTGCCTGGTTGCCAATGCTGTATTTTCTACGTTAATATTGTTAGGGAGTGTGCCTGCCCTGATTTGACCACAGCGGGGACGTCTGGGGTCAAACTGAGAAGCTCCAGCTGAGCACCGGCTGGGCTTAGATTGACAAGCTCGAGCTGAGCCCCGGCTGGGGTCAGACTCACAGACTCGAGCTGAGCCCCGGCTGGGGTCAGACTGACAAGCTCGAGCTGAGCGCGGCTGGGGTCGGACTGACAAGCTCGAGCTGAGCCCCGGCTGGGTTCAGACTGACAAGCTGGAGCTGAGCCCCGGCTGGGGTCAGATTGACAAGCTCGAGCTGAGTGCCGGCTGGGGTCAGACTGACAAGCTCGAGCTGAGCGCGGCTGGGGTCAGACTGACAAGCTGGAGCTGAGCCCCGGCTGGGTTCAGACTGACAAGCTGGAGCTGAGCCCCGCTGGGGTCAGATTGACAAGCTCGAACTGAGCCCCGGCTTTGGTCAGACTGACAAGCTCGAGCTGAGCGCCGGCTGGGGTCAGACTGACAAGCTGGAGCTGAGCCCCGGCTGGGGTCAGGCTGATAAGCTCGAGCTGAGCCCCGGCTGGGGTCAGACTGACAAGCTGGAGCTGAGCCCCGGCTGGGGTCAGACTGACAAGCTGGAGCTGAGCCCCGGCTGGGGTCAGACTGACAAGCTCGAGCTGAGCCCCGGCTGGGGTCACACTGACAAGCTCAAGCTTAGCCTCGCCGCTCACAGGACGCTTTTGTTCTGACTGATTGCAGTTATGGCATAACAGAGATTCTTCGTTCGAGGTAATGCACGTGGTTCATATAACTTTGCATCAAACCAAATCATATGCAAATCGAGGGCACGTTATTCAACAGCAGAAACCACCCAATATTTGTCGAAACTCTACAAGGCAGAACAATCCGCTGAAGCGGGGCAGCGTCCTGAGTAAGATTCAAAACTTCTTGTGGCGCGATTCTGACGTGGTCGTTCACGTGTTTGAAGTGCCAGTGCGGTATCAAGAGAGTACAGTGGTGCGGCGACCGGGCTGACGAAGCTGAACCGGTTATGCGCCGGGGTAGGGCGCATAAGTCTAATGCACTCCGAATGTCCGGCTGATCATTCATGTGGTACGGTACCAGGCAGACTGACTCTGTGTCCAAGAGAAGAACTGGCTGACGAGGGCTGTGTGATTTGTGTGTGAGGCTGTTGTGTGACGTCTGCCTGGTGCACACTTCCGTGCTCTAGCTCAACACCGCTTGGGATGTCTGACTGCCCTTCACTGCCTGGCGTGTGAGTGTGGCTGAACACCTTCCGCATGACGCGCTTGTAGGAAAACGATTCGATCTCATACGGCATTTCGTACGGGAAATGCACGTACAAATGGGGTGCGTGTAGTGTAGTGGTTAACACGCCTGCGTTAACCACTGCGCGTCTGGGAAACCAAAGGTACGGAGTTCGATTCCCCGCGGTGCCCGCCCTTCCTGCCAGGGTGAGAGGCTGGCGACGCCATATAGCCTCAGCAGCTGAGTGCGTCGTAAAGACCCAATGACACACACAGTGCAAATACAAATGTTGAGAATGGGCGTTTTAAATCGAGCCCACCTGTGAGGTTGTGACACTGTACGTCCTTAGTTCACCTTAGTATTACCTTAGTTCACCACGCTGGAAACTTTGATCTGTCGATGGGCGTCAAAGAATGTCGAATACCAGTGATGTGTTCGCGGGATGTTTGTCATTGATGGACTAGTTTGGACAGCATAACAAAGATTGACGCACCCTCCCCTTGTCCTGAGAGGAGCGCCGTAGGGGTGCCAAAGTCCAGGCGGTCTAACATACCGAACCATTTGCTTAGGTATCTCCGCCACTTGCCTTTGAAATTTTCGTCGCCTTAAGACCACCCCAACGTAAAAACAGCTACCACCGCCATCACATCTGCAGCCTTTGTAAGCATTCATTTCAGACCATACTATTATTTGACATCGGCTGACATTACGCATGAATATGTGGCGACCACGCGTCGTTAGTCTGAGAGTTGAAAGAATATGCCAACAACAACGGAAAGTAATAAGGGTTAAAAACATATCAACGCATGCAAGCATAAGCAGCATAAGGCAGCCATATGACACAAAATATGCCTTGGCAGTGCGCTTAAAACCGGTCGAATCCGTTTGTCTAACATTCCCTGGGAATTCGTTGATGAGACAAGCCGCTCGGTATGCGAACGACCGCTGTCCTGTCGCCGTCCGCGTCGCCGGGGGGCGCAGCTATGGCCCACGCGGGTAGGACGGTCACTGGTCCGCGCGTTGGCGTGTGTTTGAAGCACTTAGGCAAGACCTGCAGGTCCACCTCGCCCACGGGCTTTGTGGGCAGTGATAACAGTTTGCGTTTTACACCTCTGGCGAGGCGTGGCAAAGTGCAGGTCATCCCAAGCGCGAGGCATGTGGTCATGCTTTCGGAGGCCAGTAACTACTCTGGTGCGAAGTTAACTACTTTCGGCAATCTGGTTCCGCTAACAGCCAACCCCTGGTCATTAAGTGAAATGCAGTTTCTCACGCGCGAGATGACTAGGCCCCGCACGATGGTCAGCAATACTCGTGAGAAGAAATACTTCGTAGAAAAATGACTAAATGCTTTGCAGGGATGGCCTCAGCATCTTGACCAAGAATGTTGATCATTGCTAAGCATGGCTTGTTAACCATGGGGCCTCGTGAGGGGGGCGGGGATGGAGCGAGCCGCATGACTACTTCAGATGAGATCCTTCGTAATACATTTGTTTTTATGCTTTTTGCCGTTGGAGCAAAGGAAAGCTATTTGGGTGAAGCGTGGCAACATTAGGGATCAACGTTTCTAAGACATTGACATAAAGTGTCCGCAGTCGAGTGCATGTTGCATTGCGGGCGTAGACTAGATAATATCCCTGACTTGCACATACAACTACAATAGATGTCCAGCGTCTTTTCCCCAATCCTACAACCTTAGAAGAGCAATATCGGTCTGCCGGACAATTCTGTAGACAGATTTTGCCGTACCACAGAACGACACGGCACGATGGGCTATACCAGCCTGTACAACGCCGTGCACTGGAAGAGACTTGCAAACATTTCGGTATCTCTGCCCGCCCCAATACTAGTGGAGCATTCCCGGCCGCCATCGCAGCAGTGCGCCGGGCAGGTACTCACCAGCAGGCGAGCGGCCATGTTGTGAGACTGTCGTGCCGTCCGCAGGTGCCGACCCGTCTCCCGCGCCGCCGGTGACTGGCAGAGCGCCGCTGGCTCGGACCCGCTCGCTATATACCGGCCGGCCGCTCCCCGACCCAGGGTCAGCCGCTCCCCGACCCAGGGTCAGCCGCTCCCCGACCCAGGGTCAGCCGCTCCCCCGACCCAGGGTCAGCCGCTCCCCCGACCCAGGGTCAGCCGCTCCCCGACCCAGGGTCAGCCGCTCCCCGACCCAGGGTCAGCCGCTCCCCGACCCAGGGTCAGCCGCTCCCCGACCCAGGGTCAGCCGCTCCCCGACCCAGGGTCAGCCGCTCCCCGACCCAGGGTCAGCCGCTCCCCGACCCAGCGTCAGCCGCTCCCCCTACCCAGGGTCAGCCGTTCCCCCGACCCAGGGTCAGCCGCTCCCCGACCCAGGGTTTGCCGCTCCCCCAACCCAGGATCAGCTGCTCCCCGACCCAGGGTCAGCCGCTCCCCCTACCCAGGGTCAGCCGCTCCCCCGACACAGGGTCAGCCGCTCCCCCTACCCAGGGTCAGCCGCTCCCCGACCCAGGGTTTGCCGCTCCCCCAACCCAGGGTCAGCCGCTCCCCCGACCCAGGGTCAGCCGCTCCCCCTACCCAGGGTCAGCCGCTCCCCCGACCCAGGGTCAGCCGCTTCCCGACCCAGGGTCAGCCGCTCCCCGACCCAGCGTCAGCCGCTTCCCGACCTGGGGTCAGCCGCCCCCCGACGCAGGGTCAGCTGCTCCCCCGACCTGGGGTCAGCCGCTCCCCGACCCAGGGTCAGCCGCTTCCCCGACCCAGGGTCAGCCGCTTTCCCGACCCAGGGTCAGCCGCTCCCCGACCCAGGGTCAGCCGCTCCCCGACCCAGGGTCAGCTGCTCCCCCCGACCCGGGGTCAGCCGCTCCCCGATCCAGGGTCAGCCGCTCCTCGACCCAGGGTCAGCAACTCCCCGATCCAGGGCTAGCCGCGCCTCGCCGGCCTGCCTCAGGTCAGCCTGGGGCGCAGCGGTCACTCCGGCCTGCCGCGCTGGGTCAGGCGGGGCCCAGGTTAGGGAGAATTAGGGTGCGACGCGGGAGCACATTCAGACTTAGACCCAGTGGGATCACGTGATGGGCCAGCCTGGGTCATTGTGCACTGATCAAGTTCATGATGGGTCGAGCGGGGGTGGTAAGTCAGGCTGTATCGTGATTCGTTAGGCTTGGCAACTATACGCCAGTTATTTTCGTGATGGGCTCACCTAAGGCTCTGTAATAGCGCTCCCCCTGGGTGGTAATGGACGAGGCTGGATCGTGTTGACTGGCGCGTCTCATGATGCCGTGAGCTGTTGTGGAGGATCGGTGCGGGATAACATGGGCTGGGTCGCAGGGAGTCAGGCTGAAATGAGGCTAATACGATGGGAGTTTAATTGGGTTGAGATGTCTTGTCTTGTCTTTTCTTGTCTTGCCATGTCTTGTGCGAACCTTGATGGGATAGATCAGACTGGTTGTTTCGGTCTAGTTAGATCGTGTTGGAGTGGGCCGGTTCATGCTTTGGCAGTTACCTCATAAAAATATTGAGGAAATAATTGTTCAGTAGGCTTGAACGATATAGCTTGGATGGTGGGTTTCGGGTACATGCAACCAGTTCTGCTACCCAATTACTCTGAGCCCAAAGCAACCGGTCAACGGAAACCGTTTACACTAAATTATTTGACGTGCCAAACCAAAATGAGAGCAGTAATATGTCTTTGCGACGCGGAACGACCGATGAGGCAATATATGTCATTGCTATCATCATCTGTGATCTAGGTGATGCCGAAAAATGAGTGAATCAGACCCGCTGTATTTGGGACCCGTGTTATAGTACAACACAGTGTTATAACACACTTTCCCACGAATTCACCAGACGGAGGTACATTAAACGCCGATGCGTAATGTTCGGACGTGAGTGCACAACTAATATCGACTAAACCGCAAGATTGCTTTAAACTTACCAATGCCTGGCAGGTTTGATGAATGTGGTACACGAATTGTTTGTTGCTTTTTCGCTGGTGACTGACCAACTTTTTGCGGAAGACCTTGATATTTTGAGTGTGCGTTAGGTACAATAATCTGCACTACATGCCCCTGCACTGTGCATGCCCCGATCTGTTTCAGCTAAGGTTACTGCGTAATGTATTGGAGGACGGTTTTGTAAATTGTGAAATTGCTCGCTTCTTTGTGGATGACTAGCACATCTAGGTTTGGCAGTGTTGATGTCTTAATGATTTTTTTGATGGTGGGTTCGCTGATATCACGCAGTTCTTTTCACTCTTCCACCTTCTCTGGCCGTCGAAATCTAGCGCCAAGCTGCAAAAAGCTTCAGAACCGGTGGATCCATGGTTTGTGCACGATTATATTTCATTGTCTAGATATATTGACCAACACTTTTGCGATCGCCATTACCTGTTTTCCCTTCGTCAGCTTTGGTAGACCCTATGTTAATGCGACGCCTGCTAGCCAAAACCTGGTCCAGTTCAGACCCGTGCTCATCATATTTTACAAAATTTTAAGATTATACGGCTTCCATCCTTATCGGGCGGAATCATGAATAGCGTTCACGGTGCAACATTGCAGAAATACAGAGTCTGATGGGATATCTGGCGTTAAGTGCTTTGAAAATATGGCGGCACGAGTTTTCAAGTCACATCACTTGTCGCTGAAAACATCCTTGCGGTACGCCCAGCGGCTTTAAAAAAAAACGTAATCATGTCCAAGCCGTGGCAGTCCTGGCAGTCTGGTTTGGCCGCTGTGGCTGCAATATTTCCAGGCTATTTGATGGCAAGCCTAGGCGGCCTTGCTTTCAGTCATCATCTGGATGCTATACAAACGCTGGTGAACGCATGGAACCACATACAAATTGCATTGCATGCACGCATACAATCACGCAAGCATGCGTGAGTGAACAGAGCAATGGAATATTCTTCTTTCGTGAGCTCTGCAGGCCGAGGTTCAGTAATGTTTAGTATCTGTTCACCGTTTTCACCAGCGACATGGCTTGAGAATGAACTGGCTGTCAATCCAACCCGGCCCGACAATCCCAATGGAATAATTCGAGGAACTTGCCATGATTTGCCGCTTTGACGACGAAAGCGTTTGCGAAACAGGTGACTACTTTTGGATGGATATTGGCATCAAAGGCCATTACTTCACGCCTCTGCAGTGTGCATGGCCAAACTTTTGATGATGTGTGCCACATCATTTCGCACTCGAGATCGCTTCAGGAAATATGGCAGCGACGGCTTTCCGGTCGAGTGGTGGTGATACCGTCAGTGGGACACACTGGGATACATAAGTACCTTGTTGCCGACGCATCAACCAACACCGTGCAGCACGTTCCACGTCTCCATCTTCTTTAGCTGCTGATGTCTGGCAGCAATCCTTGCAGACAGCACAGGACGGGCGACTCCGTGGTTGGCGTACGGCAGTGCGAGATTTTCAGCGAGCACGCCAATACGCAACTTTCCCCGTACATATATATGTTCTATCCTCCGTCAGCATTAGTCGGACGTCACTGGTACATATCGTTATGTCGTCAGATCTGGCCTGGTCTATATGTCTGACTGCCGATGTCTAGAATTGCTTCTAAAATCTTTCGAAGTTTTCCCTGACTGAACCTACTTATCTCGTGTTACTTAAATTCGGAAGGTGAATGATGATGATATTGTAGTGTTGCAGAAGCACGCCGCTTGACCAAACCACCTTGCTTTCAAATGTCCTGAAACTGTCACGGCGCGTCTTTTTGGGATTTAGCAGCTTGTCTTTGAAAACTTATCAGTTGCAAGCTTAATGCATGCAGGTATATGAGGCCTGTCAAAAGCATGACTGACCGAGTTCGGCCGCTCAACCAAAGCCATAAAATGTACAAATAGCTGGCGCTAAAACTCGCTTGGTTTGTATCCCTGCTTGTAACAACAGCCGATCAAAGCGTTCCACCACAAAGCATATGAAAATCAAGAGCTTGAAGCCTTTCATGAGTACGTCTGTGGCAGGCCCTTACAACACTGGTGAATCCTACCTGAATCGATGAATGAGTTCTGACTGACATATCGCACCCCTGGAGCTATGGAACAGAGAACATTAACATGTGTTGCGATGGTTGGAAATCGGTCTTTTCATAAACACAAATTTGACTCGCGGGATTTGCTTTTCCAAGTAAAACACGATGACTAGATGACTAGGGCATTCAGAATAGAACCATATACCATCAATTTTGTGTAATTATATAATATCTGTATATGTGTATGACAGACAATCAACGCCGCCACGACTTTCCAACCCAGAATCGGTGCGTGGTTTTTTCCTAACGAAGGTGGTTGTTAATGCCATTATTTTAATGTCATTAACGTCACAAACAGCAAACGCGTAATACCATAGTGTGACAGGGCTCCCTATGGCGTGAATCAAATAACAGGCCTCTTATCTTAAAGTGGAAACGACCTTACTGCCTGAGCACTGCCTCCAACCATTGACAGGTCATGTACTAAATGCGTCCCCGAGGGCATTCAGAATAGAGCCATACACCATCAATTTTGTGTAATTATATAGTATTTGTATATGTGTATGGCAGACAATCAACGCAAGCCGCGACTTTCCAACCCAGAATCTTTCAAGGCATATTTCAAGTAGGCTGAAAGGATCATGGGCCATGCGCAATCACTGAGGCGGGTTACTATTTACTTATATCCTATCGAGTTGTGGATATTAATTCAGTGATGCTTTTAAGGAAGTACCACCAGCGGTATTTTAAGATAAGATTAGCGGATGTTCTTCAGTAAACTGCACGCTTATCATACGTCATTGCTAACGCCGGGCAGGACGGGCTGCCTGTGACGTCACACGTGGGTGCACGTCCGACGGGTGGTTGGCAGGACGGCTGCCTGTGACGTCACAAACGGGTGTACGTCCGGCAGCGGTCGGCTCTGTTTCGCAGGACGGCTGTGTCGTCAGCGCCGCCGGCCCTCCTCTGACGGGCTTAGACAGGTGCTCCCCCGCCCACCCACCGCGGTGTCAACAC